TATGTCTTTACAATTTGTTTCAGACTAAGTTTATTTGACTGACTGAAGATACTGCTGTGGCTTTTTTGGGTCTGGTCACTTTCAAAGCTCATTTTAGGGCCTCGTGTGATGTCATATGTATTTGAAAGGCCTGTTGAGGCCAGTATAGAGATAATGGTGGGATGGAGAGGATAAGAAATGTGGAGGAAAACACACTCATACCAAGATAAATGGACATGAATAGAGTTCTGTCACATGCGCGCGCACACACACACACACACACACACGCACACACACGCACACACACACACACACACAGCCTTGTAATGCTACATTAGGAGATGTTTCTCATATGGCCTTGCCTAACGTGAGGGCCGATAATGACAGTCAGAGTCGGCTTCCAGATCTATTTAAGGACCATTTCTAGTAAATAGTATTGGTATGGAAATAGTAGCTAATGCAGATGTTGTTGGATTCGATCACATCATAACAACACTGACCAAGTCCTCTCTAATCACTGCACACAGAAATTGATTATCAAACACCCAAATGGTGAACCACATGTGGCAATAATCCTGCCAATCGCTCTATTTTTAGGGCTTCCCTGGCATTTTCTCCTGCACACGTGTGTCTGTCTGCTCCAGTTTAAGGTAGAACTGGGAAAAGATTGAAACCAAACCATCCTCTTCATCTCCCTTTTTTTCCTAATAAGGTACAGAACAAGAAATAAATACACAAAGGCTAAGAGTATGTGTCCCACCTTCAGGAATGACGACTGCATACATTTTAGATGTCTTTGTTTATTCTCTAAGTCATTATCTCTTTTGTTTAAAAAGGGTGACCTCACTCTAGGGGTCCAGAGGAAAAAGAATCTACATGAAAGGCAGGAAGGCAAGTTAGAAAGAAAAGCAAGATGATTAGAACAGAGACAGATACAAATGGTGAGAGCTGAAATAATAAAGAGGAAACAGTGTGAGAAGAAAAAAACTGGGAAGCGCTAAGAGGAAATGTTTTTTTGTTGTTGCTTTGTAAAGTACTGCCTAAAAAAAGGCACAGTTATGTTTGTATGTAAATTAAGGAGCTTCTAAAACCCTTAAATCTTCACAGCAAAAAAGGATGTGTCCTCTCAGACTAGCTGAATAAGTTCCTATATAGTGTGAAAATTTTTTTTCCTAGTATCATTTTGACGCTTGACAAAATGTGTATTCTTTCCTCACTCTACTATTTTAGCTGTGTTATGGACTAGGAGTCCATAACACATGCAAAATAGATGCCCAAAAGAGACAAATTGTATGCAATTGGGGCTCAGGGGGTTGGGAAGCGTATCTGTAACTGGAAGGTCACCGGTTCGATCCCCGTCTCTCTGTCCTGGTCGTTGTGTCCTTGGGCAAGACACTTTACCCTACCGCCTACTGGTGTTGGCCAGAGGGGCCAATGGCGCGATATGGCAGCCTCGCCTCAGTCTGCCCCAGGGCAGCTGTAGCTGCAACCGTAGCTTGCCTCCACCAGTGTGTGAATGTGAGAGTGAATGAATAGTGGCATTGTAAAGCGCTTTGGGTGCCTTGAAAAGCGCTATATAAATCCAATCTATTATTATTAAGTCAGTGTTCATGGTTGTTAAAAAAAAATCTGAGCAAAAAGAAAGAAAGAAAGAAAGAAAGAAATGCTAGGGTGTACTAAATCTAAAAATAAACTTGGACAGACGCACTTTGTGCCTCCATGTGTGTGTTTGCATTCATGAACGCTTATTTGAAGGAGCATGTCCCATGGAGTGTATAAACTGGTCCTTGTGGTCTGTGTTATTGCATTTTCCCAGCAACATTTCCTGGACCAACCTGTCCTGTCTGAAATCACTGTCACCCCACCCTCTCTGCGTGTGCATGTGAAGTTTTTGTGAACAACTGGATCTTTGTTGTTTCGCCACCTCTAGCGATTGTGTCATCCATATGGCAAAACACCTACTTAAAGAAATTTAAAATTCTTACACGTGAATGTGGGTATTTGTGCATCTCTGTGTATATTGTGCTTGTGTAGTATAATCTACACGTATTTTGCCTGCTAACGGCTCCTAACTCACACACACAGACACACATACGGGCAACAATCTCCTACTGATTCAGTAGTGTTAGTTCCTTGCCGGTGAAGTTGATGGCATGTCAGGGCACAGCCCTGGAAACATCACTCAATGATGTCATTTGAGCAAGAATAGACCAAAGAGATTAGAAACAAATGCACAACTGAGAACATGGAACAGCAGCGATTGTATGGGTGATTTGAGAGGAGACGAAAAAGAGATACCTGCTCTTCATGATGAGGTCAATTAATCTATCAAGTCTGCTATAAAACAAATTAAAAGATACACATTGGAGCTATGTAATTAGTGAAATAACACACAAGATTAAATTTAATATTAACATGATGCTGCACCAACACCCACCCAAACCACAGAATCTAATTTTTACATTATCCTCCGCAAACAGTGAAAAATCGAATGATGAAAATGTAGACAATTTGATACAAGCTCAACTACTGATTACCAGCATACAAAGAAAAACATCGTTTATATTATATTCTTTTTATCCTTAGCAATCACACTGTTATGTAATAAAATGTCCATGAACATTAAACAGAGCAAAGCAGAGACAGGCATGTAGAGCCTGACAGTTAACACGAAACATGGACAGATAACCCCTAAATGGATCGCTACATTAAGACAAAGAACACACGGATGCACACACAGTGTTTCCAATTTGGTGTCCAGGACAGATGAACTGCTATGTTTGTCGCTGTCACACTATCAGTGTCTATAGCAGCAGTTCAATTTAGGAGCCTCACTTTTTACTTATGAAAAAACATTAAGGTTTTACATCTTCTCGTATAACCCATCATATCGCTGTCATGTTGTGGCAATTTATCAAAATTAAAGAAAAATAAAACTGTTATTTGTTTATTTAGTGACTGCTGATTGTGTGTGTAACTTTTACCCAGTGCAAGGACATTTTCACATACACTTTCTCCAGTTCTGAGTTGTTATTAACAGCTACTTAAGTTTCAGGAAGATCAACCTTGATGCTCTCATGAGTTCTGCCAAGGTTGAGCCAAGTCAGAGGACACATCTTATTAAAACTGTAGGTTTCTTGTTTGAAACCTAAAATTCAATTTGACTGTGAGGACAGATCTGAACCCCTGTGAGTTAAATTAGACTGCTGTTTATATTCACTTTCTAACAGCCATCTTTTCCCCCTAACATGTGACTGTAACCATTTCCATGCTAGTGTTTTCCAGTTATAGGTGCGGTGTAATCAAGGCAGTGGCTCACAGAGATGACGGTATCAAATTTGAAATACCTTTCTGACTAACCCAGTGTTCCCCTTACTACCCCGATGTGCCACACATATTTCCATGGTATTGGTTGTGCCCATGAGATCATGGCTGTCCCCAGATTAGCCTTGGGGATATGCTGGACTGTTTATGGTTTAGTGTGTCCATGGAAACGAACCCAAACCGTCAGGAGATGAGAGGATACAGGTGACTTACTGACACACGAAAAGGAAAGATGAGCTGAATTGTTGCAAACAGGAATGTAATTGACACTACAATCAACCTATTGTGATAGTTAAGTGCCATGACCACAATCAGGATGTCTATGCACAAAGAATTTTATCAGTAAAGGTTCCTGGGGTCAAAATACAGCCTGGAGTGCCGAAAAGCCTGTTACAGATACTTTGCTTAGGCCAGTTTATTTTCTCTTATTTCCTTTTCCTAAAAGTAAAAATCTTGTTTGAGTGTGGGGATCTGCATAAATTCCTGTGTTCAAAATCTACGAAAGCTACAGCCACGATAAAATCTGTTGTGTAACTGTTCAACACAACATTTGCCCATAAACCGTTCCTGCTGCAAATATGATTTGTGATTATCTCAGTTCTGGCAAAACAAAACTAGTGTGGAACAAGATAAAAAGAGAAAAAGCCAAGTGCGTATCTGTGTCTGGAGACTGATGAGATTCTAGCTACTACAAGGGTAGTCGGTTCAGATTTACAGAGATGAAGGACATGAACCTCCCTGAGGAAGTTTCATGAAGGATTGCTCTGAAAGGAATGCAAAGCAGCTGATATTTACATGTCTGCAGTTACTGTGCAGTTTGCTTAACCTTTAATTTATGTTAACTTACATATTACCCCCCTTTTTTACATCCTCAATCAAGCCGTGTAGCACTGCACAACCGTTTGTCATTTGTTCCATGTGTACCTGTTTGTTGGTAGTGTTACAAAAGTTGATCTCCAGTGTTTACTCTTGCTGATTTGATTCACTTATTTGCATAAATTAGGTGCTGTTGCATTGATGTCATTTTAAACCATATACGTCAGCAAAAAATATTGTCAACAGATGAAAAAGGATCTCAGTAAAATTAGTATTGCTATGAAGTGCTAAGCCAGAATTACTTCTGGGCAAAGTTAAGAGTGTAGGGAGTTCCAGACATGCTCCTCACATGACCTTTAGGGGAGATCAGAGCTTAAAGAGGCATCAAGTGTATCAAACACCAAATGTATCAGATTAATACAGGCCTTTATGAACTAAAAACAGCTGCCTTTAGAAGTTTAGACAGATTGAAAGAAACCACAATTTTCAGCTCCAGTAACTAGAATTTATTTGTTTCATGCATAGACACACACCAGGCCTCTTTTGGTGCTCTCATAAATGATGACAGAAACGTTTCTCAGTCTTGGTTTCTATGCTGAAAGCTCAACGGTTTAGTTGTAATTCACTGTAACCGCTTGTTTTTTTGGGTTTTTTTTTAAAAAATAAACCTCAGCAAAACCTAAAAAATGACAGTATGGTATTGGCCCTTTTAATATTTCTATAAATATTAGCAAACAGTGTGGAAGAGCTGGTGTAATTTTAGCCACATGGTGCTGGCTTAAAGTCACAATGTTTGAAAGGAAATAATAAAATGAAAAAAAGAGTGGTGTGCCATCATAACTCATAAAGTTTTCCTTTCCCTTTTTCTTTCTTCCTTTTAGGGCCCCCAGTGTGTCTAAACCTCCTCCTGTTGCACCAAAGGTACTGTAAAAATATGAAACTCAGCTCAAAGTGCAAATACTAATCACTCATTAATTAAAGTGAGGCATCCCAGGTGAATAATTGGATTTAGAGCGGCTGCATATTTGTGTTTGTCTGTGTAGTCATGTGAAAAGTGAAATATGTGGCCAAAACTCCTTAATAAACAAATGAATTCATTAAAGTAAAAGTAAGTAAAAGTAAAGTAATTAAAAAGCTGTCACCTGGGGTTCCTTGTTCTCTAGTGAGTGACTTCTTTTTAGTGGTTAGAAGTTATTTTGTTGCATGACCACCACTTTTGTCTTGATTCATTTGCTATGTTTTATGGTTATTATGAATTACAGTCAGGTATACTGGTGTTTCCCTAGTTTTTTTAAAATAAAGAAATTATGATTGAAGTTTATTTTAAATTGTGTTAACTGAACTACTTATACTAGACAAACATATAGATATGAATATGTAACCTGGGAAACATCAGCATAGTGTGTGATTTGATGTGATTTATCTGTGTTTGTATTTGCATGCTTTTCTCTCGTATCGGTAGGGCAACAGATCAGACATCATAAAACCGGTAGCCATTGCCCATCCTCCTCTTCCACCCCATCCTCATGATCATTCATCCAGCCACTCTGCTGTGTCCAACAACAAGGCCCCCAGACCTTACGGGGACTGCAAATCAGAGAGTGAACACCCTCCTTTACAGTTCCCTTTTGCCACTTCCATCCCCTCTCCGTCCTCTGCCTTTACACCTGCATCCTTCCATACTAGTCCTCGTCCTCCTTCTCTTTCTCCACCTCCTGTCTCTTATCCATCCTCTGCCTCCTCCTCCCCCCCTGTCCTCGTCCCGCCTCAGCCTTCGGTCTATAACACACCAATCAACCTGTACTCCACTGAGAATGCGTGTGAGGTGGCCATGGGGCAGAGGCGGGGCCTGTTGGAGAGTCAGGGTGGAGCCTTACCACTGCAGTTTAATGGGTGAGTGGTGGCTTTGTAAACTGGTTCAAACAATTAACCGTTCTCGGCTCTTTCACATTCCTCAGTTTTATCCACTGAGACCGTCTGTTTGCTCTCCTTATGGGTATTATTGCACATTTTTACTACCGTGCCTGCTGGATGATTACCAGGTTCAGATTCAAACACCAGTTGAAATACCAATTTATGCAGTAACCTGTAGTAACCTGTGGTGTTTCTCTAGGACATGTTTACAAGGTTATAGTTAACTTTAAGTCCAATGCATTACTTCTTACAGCATATAATATCCAAATATATATTTCAGTTATCCTTTGCCAACATTCCTAAAAAAAAGCGCAAGTTTGCAAACATCTGGGAAAATTTTCTAGGTGCCAGACCAAAGAAACATGAAAATCAATTCCCCTTGATCAGGATCATTTCAATTCTGAAATTCTGTGAAATAAGAAAAGACAAACAGTTAGGCGTGCTTTCTTAAACATAGTAAATAGCTTCCAGAGTTTTCTTAAAATAGTAAATAAAACATGCCATGACGCTTGCTGTGGGAGGATATCACCTCATTTTAACTTGTTTAAATGCAGGTGCAGTCTCACTTCTATTTTTTGTGTTTGTGAGCACATCGCGCTCATAGGTCTTCATTTTATCACGAATCATTAAGGAGAACCTCTCCACTGTTGACCTTTATAAGCGTATTGGAAGGATGAAGAGAAAGATGGAGTCTATTTCTCTTTTAAATCAATCACCATCTTTTACATCATAGCTGCATGGAACTGTCTTCACCAATATTTCTGCCATCATATACTCTTCCTCCTTTTCTGTCTCAACTCGTCTTTCAACCTTTCTAGAGCCATAGTGAGTATAACTAAGCTATGATGCTGTCAGTAATCTGTCTAAATATATATCCTCAATTGGTAACTTTAGTAGTTTGGCATTCTCTTTGCTCTTATTTTAAGAAAGAATTAGTCCGTAAACTCTGGAATCATATAAATTTAAACATGTGCAAATGCCTACACTGGCAATTTTTAGTGTCCTTGACTCATTTTTTTAATTAAATAGTTTTGAAAAGAGGAGGTGCCAAATGGACCGCGCCTTCTCTGACTCATAATTTCTCAGTTCGTTCCAATTACGTTCTCTCTCTGAGCACTTTTGAAACTAGTCAGTGGTCTCTCTTTCTGTAAGACTCAGCAGTCACTAGTGATCTGCACAATATAATCTTACACCGCGCAGACGTGCGCACGTACACACTAGAGACTAGTGATGCATTTTAGTCACGTACGTGGCCTATCTCATGTATCAGAGTTAACATTTAATACCACATCAGGTAATTAAACTACTTTATTAAATCTTGAAATTGATATTTCTTTAGATTTGAAGTTTTTTTATCGATAGCTAATCTCATTAAAAAACATATCTCAACATGTAACATAGTTACTGAAGTTACTCCTTTGCTCCTGTTTTCACTAATAGATTCACATATTACATCATTTTAATCATTCACAATCCATCTAAAAGATTTACTTTCACAGCTGTATATGAAATGTGTAGAAATATATACACATTGAAAGCATAGTCACCATTATGTCTACATAATTACGCAGACCAAACTATGATTTGATCTATATTTCCATGCATGCTTAATAGCAGGCGTATCTATTCTATTTATTTTCTTCTGTTGCTGATATGCATAAAGCCTGGCACTACATGCATGTATCCAGCTTTGCATCTTGTTTGTTTGCATGCTGCATGTTGCAAATAATTTGTGCGGTTATGAATTACGGGGGATTTATGAATTACATCTTTCAGTGTATATTACTGTAAGATTTTATATATATATATATATGTATGTATGTATCTTACATGTGTGTGTGTCAATGTCAGTCCCTTTCAATCTTTTTTTCTCTGCTTTCCAGACGGCAGCATCTCGTCAAGTGACAAAGTTAGTCTCTGAAGCATGTCACATGATTAACTAGCCACTTTTCTTTGTTACCTGTTCAGACTTCTCTGTGCATGCATTCCCATATGGAAAAGAAATAGAAAAAACATATAAAAGACTTGCATCAGATGTGGCCTACTTCATATAGTGAATCATATAAGGCTTATATGATTTACTCATGAAAGTGGCCACTTTCATATATTGTTTTAGTAAGTATATTATATCTGTTTTCACTTGTATGCTTTTCACACAAGTTTCACACAAGACAGATAAAAACTTTATAAGATTTATATATATCTTTTCCATATGGGTTTACTTACCTGCAATCTAATTTCCAAAAAACATTCTGACAGTGTGCCAAACCTAATGAAGAAAAGAATGCACTTTATTTATTTATTAATGACAACGCAAAAGTTGAAAATGACAGAAGTCATAGCCTTCACTTTTTTTTCATAATGCACCAAAAGTGTAGAGTTATTGACAGGCTTAGACAATTTAGCACCCTTATTCCTTTAGTATTGAACCATGTTAGAACATAAACAGTGTGGTTTGGCGCTGTCTTGCAGAAATAAGCAAGGTCTTCTCTTTAAAAGACGAATGAATTGCAGCATATGTTGCCTAAAAACCTGTGTAACTGTATATTGCCATGCATTAATAGTGCACAGGTTTCCCAGACCCCAAATTTCCTTCGATCATTGTGTATTTATTATAAAAGGCTTTTTGCTTTTTGTGTATCATTTTACACTTATTACATCTTGAAAATGCTTAGACATGACATAGAAAACTTAAAAGTCCGCAAAATACTGCATATACAAAACAACAAGATATCACTATCAACGAGATATCTATGAGATATCTATGTGTTTTTTATTGTTTCTTGTTTGTTTTCAGCAGTTCACCTGCTGATTTTTTTAATTATTGCATTCTGTTTTTAATTTACATTTAATTTATTATTTTTATTCATTATTATTATTATAACAATATATCATCATTATTATCATTACATTTTAATAGTGCAATGTGAAAATGTTGTAATAGTTCACTGTTTACATTTTATTTAAGATCTTACAGTATAAATCGTTTTCCTTATTCATTATTAAAGCCATGTGTAAGTAGTAAGACATTTTTATAGTATTTTACCAAGATTACTAATAAAAATGGTTTATTGTTCAGTTTGGCTAATTTCAGGTTTACATTAATCGAGAACTGCAGCACTGCGGTCTACATGCTTTAGCTAATTAAAATCAGACTTACCATAGTAAGTCACTATGTGCACTTTCCTGGGGCAACACTATATTTTCCCTGAAGTATGAATCTCTACTATTGATTCTGACAGAGTGGCATCCAAAACACATTCTCTTACACAACACACACAGGGAATATAATATGAAATGCTCCCAGTACTGGAAGTGTGTGACCAGGCTAACATATAGCTGTCAACACTGCCACACCCACATAGCTGCTGCTTTAACAAGAGTGTGCTGAGAGACTCATAAATCAGTCTGTATTGAATGTGCTAGGTGAGTTTGTTAGTGGAAGTGGATTTATAGGTGATTTATTGACAGCAGAGCCTGAAAAAATCGTTGTTTCCATGTGTGTCTGTGTGTGTGTGTGTGCGTGTGTGTGTGTGTGTATTGACAACCAATTAGTAAGAGGTTTGTGGCTGTGCATGCATGTACTGTTCATACAGACACGTAAAGACCAAAAGTAATTTAGTTTTATGTTTCAAATGTGCATGTTCCTCACTATGATTTGAATAAAACCACAACTTTTCAAACTGTTTTAAATTAAGTGTTGCTCTACTGTTTTGTATGCAGTTCAGTGACACCACCATGTGGTTGAAAAGAGACCCAGCCTGTTTTGGTTAATTCCTTCTGTTGGCTTTGTGTTGTACGTGCACTGGTAGATGTGGTCTATGAATCTTTTGTTATTTTATTTTTTTATTTTCCACTCCAGTCACTATCTTATAATCTTATAAGATTTCCATAAAAGTTTTCCATAAAAGTTTTTATCACGAGTAAATCCATTTCTGTCTCTGTCTTCTTTCTTTACTTCCACTATAGTGGACCTCAAAGTATTTTAAAGTAAGTCTTTTCACAAATCCATTCATTCTCAGCACAGATATTTTATATTATTGTGCGTTTATTTTGTTTATTTTCATTTCTATTCTGTCTTGTTTGTTTAAAAGAAAACCCCTGCCACCAAGGTATTTTATTGGTGTCTTTGCCACCAAATTCATTTAACAGACTGTGGTGTGATCTCTTCGCCCTTGCCTAATTAGCGCCCATTTACATATTTACAGTGTGGTACAGTTTCATTTCGCATACCTCTAATTATCTAACAGTTTGATTATTCATTATTTTGTATAATAACCTCAAAATGTGTGTTGTATATTAATTTAAAGTCATCTAGTCAAGGTAACTTCTTAAAAATCTAAAAAATCGAATATGCTTTTACATCATAACACATTGTGGTGTCCAGCTCACTGTTATTAATCACCATCTCTGTTACTTTAGTTATATGGGAGGTATATCTACTGATTCCATGCATCCTCTTGTTTCCTATCCTATCTCAGAGTGCCTAGGAAACATGTTGTGGATACAGACATCCATTTTTACCATGTTCCCAGTCACGCTGATGCCAGCAGAAAGCGCATAATGGAGGACACCGAGGACTGGCGCCCACGTACTGGCACCACCCAGTCCAGATCTTTCAGGATTCTGGCTCAGATCACTGGAACTGAGAATGGTATACTCCTGACTACAGTATAGTACATGTAATATTAGTGCATATAAACTGTTGACCAAACTTAATAATTGTGATGCTTTGTCTAATGTTATTGCCCTTGCAGTTCAAAATGAAGAAGCTGACACAGCCAAGAAGACAAAGTAAGTGCATGGCAATGAAAATGCTCAAATTTTATTTTTTATTGTCATTGATTGTGTGGAGTTAGCTGGATGTCGCTAACATAAAAGTCACTTTTATGGAGCAAACAGAGATTCTCACGCTGAATCTTTGTGGCACAGTTCTGGCAATCACACTGATGCTGTGTGGGTTCTTCCTGTCTAGACAGCAGAGGAAGGATCACATTTTATTCATTAAGTCAAAAGCCAGACCTCTGAGTACTGCACTTCACAATTCTGAATGGCTTTCTGAGCTCCGAAAGCTCAGAAAGCCATTCTCATTACATTCTCCTCTAATGCTACTCAAGGCTGTTTTGGAGCATGTCAGCAGTTAAGAGTCTTGCTCTGTGTATTTACCAGTTAAGGTGTAAATGAGTGTTTTGGTTTGTTTTTTTCTATTAGTCATTGTCGTTTGTGGATGTGACGGGTTTGCTGTGCTGCATGATGTGCTGCAACCATGACTGCATTGTGGCCTTATTCTCGCCGTTGGTTGTCCATTGGTTGTCTATTGCTCTTGGTGGTTTGTGGAGTTACTGCGTGTCTGACATCACTCATGCTAACATACAGATAATTCTGAATGTGAATGTAGCTGTGTGGTTTGATCCATTCAATTCATCCTAATGGCCATGATTCAGTGGACATGGTAAAGATCAGCACTTCCCATATCAATTATACAATTGCTTTTACTGCATCTTAATGCAGATTGTAGGGCAACATTCCTATTCTTCCTAAATCATTCTTTTATGTCTCTTCTGGTGTCCTTTTCTTCTTCTTCTTTCTTCTTCTTACTTGTGCTGGATGGCAGAGTGAACAAGACCACTCGGTTGGTGATTGGCCCCAAGTACAACGAGCTGAGAGACTGGCACCACGGAGTGTCTGCTCGCACCCTCAATGTCCAGTAGACTTTGTGTATGTGTCTGTGTGCCTGTGTGTGTGATTGGCTGTCTCACTGTTTAGGTGTACAAAATGAAACGGTAAGGTGCTGAAGGAATATATGATTGTGGATCAGTGAGATTAAAATAAGTAAAGGAGATAATGCTGGAGTGAGAGCATGCTTGTGAACATTGGGAGTTTTATTGTGTCTGTAAGTGTGTCAGTGTGTGCGTTTGAGTGTGTGTGTGGGCTTGTCCTTTACAGTTTGCAATGTGCTGGACCCTTTTAGACTGTTTATTGCGTGTCGCTTATGTGCTTCGCCCACTCCACTGATTCCAACCCTGTAGTTATAGATGGATGAATTACAGTAAGTGCATACCTAGAATCCTGGAGGAGGAGTATATACAATTTTAGTTGAGCCCATTTGTGGTAATGTGTGGTGTCATCTTCCATTGTTGCAGAGATAAAAGTTGAGAAATCCAGAACTTCCGATATGAATACTAAAGTACTGCACACAGGTGTATACAAGCAAACTCAAAATATTCAGTCAACATTCACACATTCGACATAAAAGACATAAAAAAAATAGCTGAAAAATCACTTCTGGATAAATCTGGATAAGGTCTGGATGAGTATGTGCAGACTGTATTAGGTATGTCACTTGTTGCATAAATGTATGTTACAGAGGACACTTCTTTAAGAGTCAGTAGCTTGTTTACATCTATTGTGTCTGCTGAATGATTTCATAAACAGAAAAAAAATACATTTCAACTTGTAGTGCATGTATGTACAGTATGAAGTATATTTGCTGGACAAAGGCAGAGGCAAGTTTTTGTGGTTTTTGTCACTGCGCATCACCAAAATGCATTTTAAAATCAAACAGTCTGGATGTAATTGAAGTGCAGATATTAAGTTTTAAATCAGGGGGTTTAACAAAAGTGTTGACTTAACTGAAATACAGGTTTTCTTATACACAGTGCTCCATTTTCAGTGACTCTAATGAATTTGGGCAGTTGACTGACTTATGAAACCTGTTTCTGTGTTAGTTCATGACAAAATATTCATTAGATTCAAAGAATTGAATTGGTGGATGCAATGGTATGGTATGGGTAGGTATGGCTGCCAGTTAAACCAGTCCACTATGTTTTATTGTGAGTGCTGACAGAAGTAGCAGGATGAATTGTTAAGTGTACATGGCTATACTCTGCTCAGATTCAGACAAATGCTGCAAAACTGATCAGATGGTGCTTCACAGTGCAAATGGATAATGACCCAAAGAATACTGCAAAAACAACCAAATAATTTCTCAAGGCAGAGAAGTTGGTTAGTGGAAACAGGGGTTTACGTAATCCTACTAACTACACGTTTCATTCAAATAATTTTGTAAATCCCTCAAATTAAAGCCTCAATTAAAGTCTCAACCTCAATCTTCATCTGATTGTTTGATTTAAAAATCACAATTGTTGTTTTAGAGAGGAAAAACTGTCTTTGTCCAACAAATTAAGACTTAACCGTATACGTCATGCTGCTGGTATAAAATAAACAGTCCAGTCTGGTTTAAAACATTTGTTTTCTTTAAGGTACGAGCAAGTAAGAAGCAGGCCAGGAATGAGGTTGTACAAAGGGACTTTATAAATACTATTTTAAGACCTTTGTATGTGACATATTCCTCCAGTGCCTTAACATATATTTCATCCCTATGTTTACTTAGTGCAAGTTCTGAATGTAATCAGTTTTTTTCTTGTGTAGAAAAGCACAATTTTGAAGAATGCTGAAGTCTGCTATTTATTTTCTGTGCTTGAAGGTTGTTTAAAAATTCTACATTGTAGCTAATAGGCTAATAAATTTGTTGAGGTTTTTTCTTGTTTCCTGTTTCTCTGTTTCTGGTGTCTTTTTGTTTGTTCTCACTATTCTGAATTCTGTTGCTCTTTCCTGTTCTAGCTGTCTTATTGAATCTGTTTGTGGTGGGGAGGCAGGGGGCTCATGTAGAACTTTCCACTTTTAATAGTGAAACTGTAGTCACCTTCAAGGAAGATGGAATAACATTTTTTAAAAACAACTTGCATGCACACACACACACACACACACACACACACACACACACACACAGTAATACAAATCCACATAACCACATTATGTACATTTTTTTTGCAGTTCTTTTGACTTCATGTAATTTAGAGCATGCCAAAACACTCGAACCCAAACACATTATTTTCTGCTATCTCTTATCTGCCAGTGCACAAGAGCCAAATAACACATTTCTCAAAACTCTGTTTTTATTCATATTCCTGCTACTTAAGACTCTTTCACCTGCTCATTGCTTTGTTGCACACATTAAGGAATTTTACATTTCTCTCTCTCTCTCTCTCTCTCTCTCTCTCTCTCTCTCTCTCTCTCTCTCTGTGTGTGTGTGTGTGTGTGTGTATAAAATACTAAAAATCAACTGTAAGCTCTGGACTTTTTTTGGGATCTGGACCAACATTTTTCCCGTGTTGCCACCAGAGGGAAGCACTGACTCAGAAAATGCTGTCCAGTAAGCGCACAGTAATATTCCTGCTACTGTTTAACTCTACTGCTTCAACTCAGTCTGACCTTGCTTCCATCTCAACACAGGGGCACTACAATGTATTTATATGATGGAAACCTCTCATTTGTTCCTTTGCTCCACTCTTTGTTTTTTGTCTCTTTCTGTTTCCTTTGGTCCTTTGCCTTTCCTGCTTCAACCAGGGCAGAACAAAGTATCTTGTGAGAAGGCAGCATCTCAGTACTTTATTTATTTATGTCCTGCTCAGCTGTTATGTTAGTTTCACTGCAAAATGCTTAAGGAAGAAAAGCTATAGTGTCCGTGAGCTGGACCTGCTAAAGAACAAAAGGTAGACATAACAGACTGTAAGCAAAACTTTGAGCAAATGCTCTTACAACATTTTATTATGCTTGCAACTTTGCAACAATAGCATGTAAATAAATACATATATAAAGCTGTACATCTGTATGGAAGATGTTTTTTGGATGGGTTGCATTTTATTAGTTGTTGCATTGCTCATCATAACACCATTTCACCAGTATAACAAATAGTTTCGTTATTTTCAACTCACAGCATAAACAAGGCCTCGGATTCATGGACCATGTGGTTCAATAGCTGCTGTCAACAGTGAACAAGCCATGTTTATTCAAAGCATGCCCGCGCCAGAGGACATGGTCCATATGTCTCTGCAGCGACAGTTCATACCAACTATGACATTCTGTGGTCACTATGAAATAGCTTGGCAGCATCTCACAGAGATCAGTCATTGGTTGGTGGACACAACTGCACACAGTAAAACCGTGAAGCACGAATGGTGCGTGTGCATTTGCACGAGGGAGCTTGAGTGGGTGCCTACGATGGATGGACGTCTCTGTCATTGCGTGAGTGTGAATAGAAGCGCATGGTTGAAACAGTGCGTGAAAACCAAATTTGATCCAAAGAATATAACAGCGCTAAATTATAGACCATCTGTTGCGTGGTGGAGAGAGCTCCTGGACAGCAGTCAGCTATGTAAATGGACCATTTGTTCAGTATTTAAATTAAACCAACACATTTATGCGATGCATAATACAAACTCTTGTTGGCACTACAGTACACAAGGGGTTACCTTACATATGTAAAATCGTCTCTATTTTTTTCATTATCTCTTAATAGCATCAAACAGGAAGTGTCATTATTAGGTAGAAAATAAACTTCAGATAAGACAACCACAGGAGCAGCAGCGGTGATACAGATTAGGACCACTGACAAGGCATAAATAAATGTATATTTATCAATGTATATAAAGAGTACAATACAAAATAGATCAGATGATAGAATGAAAAGCCCGAGCCTCTTTAATTATCCCTGACAATTGACAAGATTCATATGTGGCCAAGTATGTCCAGATGGTCAGCAATATAAGTGGCTACTGCCGAATCAGAAACAAACAGCAGAGCTCTCCATATAACTAATCACAGTCTTACAAAATACAATAAAGTTACATGTAATTGGACTGATTGGTAGAGAATATTAATGAGCTTCAATGTAACTGGTTCTAATGAATGAAACGCTGGGGAGCATCTTATTTCCTGCTCTATTTGTCACCTGTTGTTAGCAAATTACTGTAGCTAATATGAATAAATGTTGTTAGCTTGTTGGCCAAGATAATTTAAATAGATGGCACTGTGGTCTTTAATCGTAGTTTATTAGCCTAATAGCATGATGAGGAAAAGGTCTTTCCTGAAATTTTTTTTTCTTGCTTGCTTGATAAGCTGATGCCTGCTGATGCTTTTTGTTTCTGTTGCTATGCAGAGAGAAAGACTGTGAATATTGTTATCATGGCAACACAGGGAAATATGCTTTTTAACTGTACTGCTACCTACTGTAGAAGGAACTACTACAAAAACTGTTCTCAGGACTTTGGTAGTTTTGAAAAAATCTATTTCTGAAAAATAGACAGTGCACAAATGTGCACAAGATGCTCGAAGGAACTTTACAGATGTCCTAAATTTCTCTTTTATTAATAAGGTGTTGGCAACTACTTATATGAGGTATGGTATAATTATTCAGTTTATCAGCAAATGATATGTTCCAAGATAGGAGTGGTTTGAGAACTCATTGCTATTGTGGCTGCTGTGACCCGATCACAAAGATGCTTTCTAGTGTACTTGTTCCCCTGCTTTAGTAAAAATGGCAGTACAAATCCAGCTAGTTGGCACTGTCAGCACTTTGTCTGCAATGGGTAGTTTCAGGATACTTTCAGTTTTGTCTCTGCCTATAGATGTAAGAAGTTAGTGTGAATAGCCGTGGCTCCTACTGTCAGACATATGATATACAAAAAGGTAAGCTGATAATGAGAATGAATAAAGATTGTATGTAGCCCTGCAGTCTCTTTCTTACAGAGAATACTTAGATTAGGCCTGTGCTGGCTGCAGGCTGATTGGCTGGAATCAATGCTAACACAACAGTCCACTGGATGTATTTATCACAATACTGATCATTGCATTGGAGACTGTGTGTGTAGATTATGTCAGTATGTATATATATGTATATATGAATCAGTAACTAAGTAAGGCAAAAGTGACAAAGTGCTTTACAATACAAAGTAACAACAATAAAAATGCTACAAATGGACACATCTAAATAAAAGCAGTCTTCTACAGGTGCGTGTTAAGCTTCACCCTAACAGTATCAGTTAGGAGCGAGTACCACAAGTTGGGAGCTAGACTTCAAAAGCACTGCACATGCCACAAGCAAGCATTCATCAGTTGATTTCAGACACGCAGTGTTTACAAGTGAATTTCCATTAATACAGAGAGCCATCTGACCATGAAACGCTCTAAAAGTGATCACCAAACACTCAGACTAAAACCTAAATTTTATAGGGAGCCAGTGTAAATAGGAGAGCTTTGGTGTTACGTAGGATGTTTTAGAAGATGTGGAGTGAAGCCTCACAGTTGCCTCTATGATTATTCCCATTTCAGGTTGAGACACAATGTATTTTAGATATATTTAAGAAACAAATTGAATACTCACATTTCCATAGTGTACATTTTTACAGTTTTACAACAGCAAATGAAGCATGTTTGTTGTAAACGTAACAGGTCGATTGTCATTTTTGACAGCCATTTAACTTCTGTTTCAGTTATACCATTTTTAAGCTGTAATTATTACTTTTATTTGTTTTATTTTTTTCTCACAAGGAGTGTCACTGAAGAGGAGGCCCTTCTAGAATACACCTACTGTATTCCAGAGTTATGTTAAGCACTCATTTAGAAAGTTTGAATAGTGCTATGGTAAATCCCCAATCTGTATAAATAATGTAATGCTTTGAATGGCTCTAAATAAGCTACACAAACCTTTCACTAGTTTCTGTCTCTTTGATTCTCACTGTACTTTCCTCTCTTTCATTCTCTAGTTCTTGTTCATACAAAACATACAGGCACAACTTATCGTAACTATGACTGCAGTTGCCATAACATGTGTCTCCCATGAGTCCTCTAACTGCCAGGCACAAGGGGAAGACAGCAGTGATCCAACTGTTGGCATCAACTGCAACTATGCATTATGGTTGTAATATGTCTGGGGAGAGATTGTTGGCCCACCCAGGTTACTCAGTTGGTGCTCAAGAGTATGCGCATACTTAAACACACACACACACACACACACACACACACACACACACACACACACACTTGATGTTATAGAGAGGTTATTCATTTTGCAGAGGAAAGTTTGAGACCTTGGGGTTACATTTAATTAAAGGACGGAGATATTTTGTGCTTTTCCACCATGATAATTGGACAAACCTTGGCAAATCTCTGGTACATGCAAACTGGCAAAAATATTTCATAGCTGGCCAAAATCAGGTAAAAAACATTAAAGGTTTTTCAAAGTTGATTTCCTCTCTTGTTTTTATAGTTTATTTGTCATTTGTGTAATTAAAAATGGCATGTGATTTGAAGGAATGCTTCAAAGAGTTGACAGACAACTAGAGACAACTATTTAAAAAAAAAAGAAAATTTCCTTTACCTCAAGGGTGAAGACAGAAGAAGGTGTTGCCTACAGGTCTGCATTACATCCAAACATTTTAACTCATGAGAGATGAACTGAAGTTATTAACCACAGAAAATAGGAGCCTTACGTTTTTACTTTTGAAACCTTGAATACTCAAATCAGTGTCAGATATATTTGGATTCCTTTAAAGATAAAATGCATCACCCTGTGGTAGAGTCATCTTCATCAGATATGGAAGAAGAACCATATGAAATCATATAATATGCTCAGGTCAATTTATCCATCTTGTGTGATGAGCTGTAACGTGCCTTAAATCCTATGACCCATGATTTCATCACATGAATTAGTGGTTGGGCTTCATTTGACGCAATAACCATTAAATCTTAGTACAGAATCTCGTAAAGTTACTTATCCTTTGACCTGCGTTTAAAATGTAGTTGTATTTCTTGGGAGACCATGAGAATCGACCAATGAATCCATAGTAATGCAGTTTTAGTTGGCTTAGATTTTATATGACTGCAAAGAAGTGTCCAGACCCATTAAGAAACCACTATTGACCCATTATAGAAGAAAAGCAACAGTGGTAACATGCACCTTTGTGTACATTTGCTAGAATAATATAGAAATTAATTAGTGAATATAGTGTAATTTATGTGTTCACATTCGGCACTATATGGTCTTTAATTCATGTAGTCTGGCATCAATCCACAGTTGATGTGAAATGAGCTCTTTTTTATAATACATTATCTTATTATCTTTTTTACTCAGCTGTAGTCTGTTGAGTGTCTTCAATCGCTGAAATTCTTCCTCTGGCATCACCTTTGATTAGGTGTGCTGTAATATTACTGCTGTTCAGTCCTACTTGTCTCCTCTCTGTCATCATTCCTGCAGCCTGGACTGTGTTCTCCTATGAATGTGGCACATGGGTAACTTTTAGTGTGTACTGGATTCACAAGGAGCACGTGTACAGTGAAGGTGCATACTGTACTGTTTTGGCTATAGTTGCATTCTGTGTTTTAGTTGGCACCATACCATCTCTCCAGCTGTCAGCAGGTAGATGAGAAGAACTTAAGAAAATTGGTGTTTTTTTCCCCCTGTTTCCCTTCTTGCCTCCTTAGTGGGATATGATTAAAATGAGTTATGAAAGGTATTTTGCAAAGATAATAAAATAATAACTAAGATATATACTATACTGCACATATGTAAACAGAATCTGCTACCATTACTGCTGTATGAGCCATCACTCTGAGTGATGAGTGAGACGGATGAAAATAGAAACCAGTAGAAGGCCTGTTGAGCTGGATCTACACCAAAATTTAATGAGTTCATCCTTTGCCCATGCTCTACTTATAGCACAAATTTCATGACATTCAGCTTTTTATTTTTGGGGTGAGCTCACTGAAAAACTGACATCTGTATTTGGGCATAGGTCATTTTGGCAATGTGTTTTCTGAACATCTGATATGTAGGGACTAGAGCCTGATCAAGGATTTCTAAGACTGATAACGATACCGATATTTCTCATTTTAGTTAAAAAATTACATATATGAATTTTAATCTTTCATATTTGCAAAAGCTAAGCAAACAACTTGTGGATAACTGATTTCCACTCTGCCACATTCTGCTTGGATGAACTGGTTGTTTAGTTTGTGGCATTCCAAACGTGTTGCCGACAGAGAAGTTAAAGAGTGCTGTCTTGTGGACAAATTTTGCAAAGGTGTTCCTCCTGTCAGCTGTTATGAATGGCTGAAATTGGCCAATATATTGTTTGAGCTCTATCAGGGGCAGTGGATTCTAGCATTAAGTCATACATTTGATTACAAATCTCATTAAGCAATTTTAATGTTGTGTTTCTGTTGTGTTGTCCTGCACAGTGAGGAATATGTGGAACCCGAACTCAACAGCCATGAGTCTGCAGTTGTTAAGACTATGATCAAAGGACCTGCAACAACCTATGGTAAACACTGTGTGTGTTCTTGCTTGCATTCATGTGATAGCAGCTAATCCTAACTTTCCACTCAGTCACATTCACAGTCACAATTTCTTAAAATCAGTTTTACATCCTTTAAAAAGAATACAATGTATGCACTTGGACCAAGACACAGCAGGCTCTTGTTTACTGACTTAACCTCTTAAGCCCCAACGCCCCCTGATACGGGGGCAAAAAGCAGGAGATCAGGTAGGCTTGGGGCTTAAGAGGTTAAACTATTAACACATACAGTATATACATGATATTGTGTACGTAAATCTTGCTAAATGTTGCTCATCTTGCCAAGGCTGCATGAACTCACTGCCAAATTCAAACAAGGATATATTGTGTGAATGTGTGTGAGTTGTTTCTGTCGAGTGATATTTTCTCACTGAATTAACTAGCTAAGTGTAATGAAACTAAGCCGTTTTCTTAGCATAAGTCACGGTGAATGCATGCATACCCAGAATGTAGACTTCCCTCCACAGACTTCTAAAAATAAACTTGCATTTATGAATTAAGCTAAATCTTCTTTTAAGTGTGCATTTTGATTGATTCATATATCACCCCCACAGTTAAAAAAAAAAGGTGTTATTTATCCTCACATACAAAAAACCCCAAAACGTTAGGTTCCCAATTCTGGCACAGTGTGAAACTGATTTACGACTGTTGGATAAAATGTTGTTACAGCCAGTTAGCAAGGGTAAAGAGACTTATTTTCCATGGTTAAAGCATGACATATGTTGTGAAATAGGTCAGTGCAGACTTTCTTTTCCTTTGCTGCTGTTATTGCTCTGTGGAACAGCATTAAGAAGGAGAGAAGGACCGTGCTGCATGTGGTGCCTTGCTTAGTCACATGTGTAGCATTTCTACTCTGTCAGAAAGATAATATTTATTGAAGAGACTTGCCGGGAGTGATGGAAAGCTTTAAAAGCACTGAGCTGCAGCATAATGTCCATATCCAATCAGCACTCCATTAATACATTCTGAAAGTGAATGTCTGTTTTATATATTATTGGTTATTATCTACATTCACATAGCTTTTTTATATGCTAATCTATTTATTTGTAAACAAACCTTATCAAATCTCATTGAACACAAACCACTCTTCAGGCTGCAGCTTCTAATCCAACACAAGTCCTCTCCTCCGCTTCTCAATCTGATGTAACTGCCCCCAAAATTGTAAATGCAGTCATTTTCCCAACAACCCAGGATCATGAAAATATACTGCTGGCCATATAGCACTCCCAGCAGCACTCCCAGCAGCACTCCCAGCAGCATTTGGCCACTGGCCCATTTTGACTTCTGAGCTGCAGTGAAAGAAACCAGGCCATGTAAAACAATGCTGTCACTGTTAAAATTTGAAAACACATGATGCAGTCGCCTGCATCCTCTGCTTACCTGCCCACCCTCCCCTAAACTGTTTGAGCCCTTTTGATCGCTCAGTATTCTACTGAGGAAGCTTTCGTATCTAACTTTTAGCTTTGTAGGTTAACACATTTAACATAAGCCCACTGTTTGTTTGTTTCTATGAACTTACACATACGCCATTATTAAAAGTTAATGACAGCTTTAAACATGGCATGCAATGGTAAAGCTTATCGCCATATGTAGTCTTTCTTTCACCAGCACACAAAAACACTACCCTTTCCATAGTGTGGAGATCAAAGAATGGGCTATGTGTTTAGTCAGGTGTCTGGGTTTTTAGTGGAGGGTATGTCTTGGTGGTCTTTATGTGTCTATGTGTGTTTGGTCATATGCATGAATACACATGCAACATAGGAATGTGTTCCAAGCTGAAAAATTCAGTGTGCAGCTGAAGATTGATGTGGTAAATCCCTGGCTATGACAACAGCAGACAGCCAGCTGCATGCATGACCATGACACCTGCTGGGTGTATAGTCATAGAGGGTAGAGGTCAAACGGCTAGCAAATGTGGCAAGTAAACATAATTACACAAATATAAACACCCTCTGTGAGAATGTAAGTGGTCTTTTGGGTGAATGTGAGTGGTACATCCTTTTATTTTTCATCCACCTTCTGTAGGTCCACAGACTGGTTTGATTACCCCATCTTTTGGTATGAAGGGTAACGGCAGTGCCAGTGTCCCACGGGGTCCTGCTCCGGCCCGACCTGTTCCTCAGCCCCACCCTAAAGATGAGGACACCCTGGTACAGATGGCAGAACATATTCCTGCTGGCACTCGTACGCCAATGTGTGCCCACTGCAACATGGTGATCAGGTGAGGGGCAAACAACATGGCTGATATTAGATATCACCTATCAGCTTAAAATCAGACTTAAAAAATGTATTTTTATAGATCAGTTTTTCTTCCTGTTTTAACCAGGCACCTCAGAGAGCCCCTTAAAGGCTTTATAACATCCCGTGTAATTTGGACATCCTGTTTGTAATCGAGCATTTAGATCTGTTTTTAATAGTATACTTGTGTCAAAATATCAAATCAGCTAAAAACCATTGATTTTATAAGAAAGTGTAGGTCTCTAGTTACACAAGATATGTAAAGTTATGTTTGATATGTATTTGAAAATATTGGCATTCACCTTGTCCAGTCACAGTATAGGAAATGGAACCTGACAGATGTATCTGTTTGAGCTTGGCTGGACTGATATTTAGCGATTTACCAGTATCAGCATTTATGACGTCCACTAGTGGCGTTCCAAACTGCTGATCCGAATAGAGTTTTGCAGGATGTGAAGAAGTAAATAAATAACTACACATAACGAATGTTATATTTATGGTTTGTGTTTTTGAAAGAAAAATATATTGCAGTCAATATTTCAGAATATTAGATTTTTAAATCAGCCAATAATGGCACAAACACACCAACCAGCTGAGTGGGCTTGCTGTCAACTAGTAAGCCTTGGGTTGCTGTGACACTAAAACAAGATTATTTTTAAACTGTATTGTGATATCTTAGTAAGGACTCATAACAAATGTTAGGTAAATGTGCTTATGTTTCATGTCTCCGAAAGAAAAAATATCAAAATTTTCAATGACAAGTATTGGTATCTGTCGTAAAATGCCTATATCAGTCGTGCTCTAATATACTACTACTAATAATAATAATAATAGACAAAATGCTTCACAGTTTAAATAAAAGCCACACATTGACACACTGAATCGCATAATCCTTGTAATATCAACTATCTTAGTAGTGGTCTGTAGTGTCATCAGGTATGGAGGGGGCAGTCATGGCCATTTATAATGAAAACTGCGAGAGAAAGGTGTTCGGTTCCATCATGCCGTGCCTTTATACTTCTTGCACAAGGACAGTCAAAAGAGAATTGATCTCAGCTTGGCTGCACCCACATCAAATTATACTCAAATTAAAATTCAGCACCACAGCTAGGCTCTTAAAATAATTAACCTGAAACCATCTCGAGTAAACAATCTGTGTATGAAACTGTAGAACGACATTTGATTGCGGCGTGGATAACGGATAGGAGAATTAAGTTGCACCTGCCGCTGATAAAAGAGCAGAATAATGTTATACGCAGACAATCTCATTAAAAACTCATGCAGTTACACCACATCTTGATTTTGCCCTCTGTTGTGTCAATTTGTCAGTTTCAGTTATGTTTAATATTAAGAACTGGGAATGTAATCAATGACTTCTCATAGAAGTGTGTTTAGGACATGTTTCTGTGCTCAGATAAATATTTTGCTTATACTTAGAGATCAGATCAAGATGTTATGTCTTGGAAGAGGAGTGAGATTTTATTAATGGAGCAGAACTAGCATAACTGCCAGAATGGCTTTTATGAGGTAATTAAGAAAATGAATTGGATTTTCCAACTGTACAAAGTGCCTGAAAACTTGCATTTGAACTATAAAAAATTATTAAAAGCTGTTAAGGTCCAGCCAGAGTGGCACAAAAGAGCAGATCACTGAGGAATAATTTCCTGAAATTCTTCTCTTGTCGACCTCACTTCTTGTCCGGTAGCTTACTGCCCTGACTCATGTTATCTCCCAGATTGTGTCACCTAACATATTATTAGGATAAGGTTGCTCTCATGCTAATGACTGCCAGCCAGGGCCACTGTCACGATAAGCTCAGATAAGCCCAGCTATTGTGTGGAGTAAATTAGTCTCTGTTGTCTTCCCACTTTAACTAATCATCAGAGTGGACACAGCCAAGGAGCAAAAGTAGGGAAGCAGGCGCGATAGCTGCAGTTCTCAAATTTTTAAATGTGTTTCTCATTTTTGCAGCATTTTTTTGTGATTTGAACAGAATACCAGAAAATCAGTTTGTTGATCAACAGAAATTCGTCAGTTTTAACTACCATTAATTGTTTAGATGTTTTTCAGTTATTTTAGGGTAATTATTGATGAAAAAAGGCAGTCAACTTTAGTAAATGCATTACTATACTGGAAGTTAGGGATGCAACGATACCAATTTTTTCAAACCGATACGATACCGATACTTGGATCTGAGTACTTACCGATACTGAGTACAAAAACC